AGCTGTAGTAAAAATATCGTTTAGAGACTTTGAACTACTTTAAATAAAAAAAAAATTTGGTTTTAAACAACTCTTGTTTTGTGAGAGCATGACATTACCCCCTGGTCAATTATCCCCTTTTCATTTACTCCCCCTCCTCTAAAAAGCTACTTTGGTAACACCCTTGTCGATTCCCCTTTCACGTTTGTCCCCCTCCCCCCTTTCCCCCCTACTTTCCCATAAACAAATATGTTGTATGATGTGTAGGTTCGGCAGGGTCACTCTCCTGTAATGTTGTTAGACTTACATCAATTTTAAATTTATTTATTTTTTTGTTCACTTTCAAACCCGGTCGGACCGAACAAATATAATTTTAAAATTTCGTGACTACAAATTCCCGGAACGTTCTCGCTCTCAATGACTGTGTTTTATAACAACATTAAGTGATACTTGCGATGGAAGAACATATTTAAAACAAATGTATCGTAAAGTTACATTTTTTTAAAATAACGACCGTGTCTGATAGTTTAGACCAGGGGTCGGCAACCTGCGGCTCGCGAACCGCATGCGATTCCTTTGATGTCGAGATGCGGCTCTTCAGCTCCATGCACAAATATTAATAATTGTTTTATTTTATTTTCAAAACTCATAAAAATATTGTTCTGCAACACTCGGTAATGAACGATAAAATAATAAACATGAACAATAAACATCCGCTATTCTATTAGAATATTTAGTTACGCCCTATTTCAATGTACTTCCTATTAACTTGTCTATCCCAAAATGCAGCATTCAACTTCATGGTGGAGATCACAAAGAAACTAAACGAGCTAAATATAAAACTGCATGGAAAGGAAAACCCAGCCTATGCCTTGCTTGAAGAAGATGATTGTTTCGAAAAAAAACCCACTTAATTTTGTCGAAGACCCGGAGAGCGGTAAATAACTTTATTTCGAAAAATTAAAAAAAAATATATCATGATAAAACCAACGCAACTATTAACATGAATCACTTCAGCATTACTATAAACAAAATGAAGGATGGGTTCACTTAGATATTTGAGCAATTCAAATAGTTCATAGTCATAGTAGATTCTCTCAACACAAAAACAAATAAGATTAACTTTGAGCTATTTGGAATTGATGCTGGTTCGCTCCAAATTAAATTGCTAGATTTGAAAATCAAACATTTTTGTAGCGGTTAGTTCACAGATCTCAATTTAGATGATTTGGAGGTCCAGTAAAACATGCACGTTTCACTGTACAACTGGACAGCCCTAAAAGAAATGCCGCGAGTTGAGGCCCTACTATGTGACGCATGAAATAGTCTTACAGGATGCTATAGTAAGGCGAAGAATTTGGTATTTGGAGTACTGACGATCTTCGGGTCAACATATTCATGCGAGCAAGCATTTTCTTGCATGTATATAATAGAAAGTATAGAAGCCAACTAACAAATAAAAATCTAGAGGCGTGCTTGAAACTGAAAACAAGTTATTAGCCACGTTTAAACAAACTTTCAAACGGCATGCTAGGCGAAACTGTTGTAAATAGTATTCAATAATTAAAGTTGTATACTTTGATTACTGACTTTATTATTCTAGCAGAGCTAAATAAAATAATTTCATACTTTTTGTGCAAAACAAACGTGTATGTTTTTATTTGAATACATATCATTTCATTTTTAAAGATATATATATATATATATATATATATATATATATATATATATATATATATATATATATATATATATATATATCCTAACAATCCTAATAATAATTCCTAATTAAATATCATAATATTGAAATAAAAATGTTAGTGGCTCTTTAAAAACTGGGATATTTGGTAAATTGTAACCTTTGGCTCTTCCGTCCCAAAAGGTTGCCGACCCCTGGTTTAGGCAATTATCATGTCTATATAACGTCCTGTCTGATAGTTTAGACAATTATCACGTCTAAATGTTATAACGGCCGTGTCTGATAGTTTAGACAATTATCACGTCTATATAAGGGCCCTTTCTCTTCTTCTTCGTTCTTAATTTTAGTGTTAAAATTAAGTAACGTGTCAACTGGTTATGCGCCATTGAGGCCATTGACTCCGATTTCAGCCTGCTTTTCTTTTTGGAGTTGTTTCCATATCCTTTGTCCAACCAAGAACAAACTACAAGGCAGCAGTTGTTTGCTTTTGGAGTTGTCTTACAAAACAGAGTGGTTGTCCCCAGCTAACGAGCCTCATCTGCCCGAGGATTCGAACTCGAGACTTTTCGGTTAAGCTACCATGAGCTTTACCGAATTGACATTTATCAGGTCTAAATAACGGCCGTGTCTAATGCTTTAGACCAGGGGTCTCCAAACTACGGCCCGCGGGCCGGATGCGGCCCGCGAAGTCCTCTTATCCGGCCCGCGGAGATCTTTTTGTCCAAGGAAAAAACGTTTGTTGGTGATGGCTGAGGAAATTTTCCCAGAAAAATCACGACATGTCTAGAAGAAACTGGCCATCGAACTGAAATTTGATAGTTAATGCGGCCCTCGGACTGAAAAGTTTGGAGACCCCTGCTTTAGACCATTATCACGTCAAAATCTTATAATGGTGTGTCTGATAGTTTAGACAATTATCACGTCTAAATAACGGCCGTGTCTGATGCTTTAGACAATTATCACGTCTAAATGTTATAATGGTGTGTCTGATAGTTTAGACAATTATCACGTCTAAATGTTATAACGGCCGTGTTTGATAGTTTAGACAATTATCACGTCTAAATAACGGCCGTGTCTGATGCTTTAGACAATTATCACGTCAAAATCTTATAATAGTGTGTCTGATAGTTTAAACAAGTATCACGTCGTCATTAAGACCGTATCAGATAGTTTAGAGAATCATCACTTTCTTTTACAACGAAGCACAAAAAACAATCTCAGTGAGTGTCATTCAGTAAAGTGTCATTCAGTGACGTGTCATTCAGTAACGTGTCATTCAGTGAGTGTCATTCAGTAACGTGTCATTTAGTGAAGTACCAGGCCAGAAGTAACTCGAGTCGCTGCCTAGCAAAAGTTACGTCGGTGTTTGTCTGACCACCGTCAGGATGACCTGACAAGGACTGAATCATTAACATACAATATATTTTAATTATAATTTTAAATAACAATACGGCAGGTTAAAACAATATCTGAGTACACGCTCATAGATGTAATCGCGAATGTTTATTTGTTAAAGCGTCTTGGTACTATAGAGTCAGATGGTAAAATGACGTCTGCTTATAAAAACCTGCACTCGTGTAAATTCCAGAGATCAATTTAAAAAAAAAACATAATCAAAAATTTAACTTACTGTTCGTGATTCTGGTAGAATTAATGTATTTTGTGATTCTATCCGCAAAAAAACAAATTTACCCACCCTTAGTTGAGGTAAAAGAAGATGTATACTGTCGGCTGATCAGTTGGAATGTTTTATTTATGTTTCACATTGTAAGACCTCTGGTGAGTGTTCACTTGAAAATAAGTTATCCACTCACCCCCACCCGTCCCTCTCCCACACCCTCTCTCTCAAACACATAGATACACACACACACACACACACACACACACCAGAAACATAAGAGCTTAGAGATTCAACAGAGCTTATTTTTGCGTGAACAAAATGTACAAAAGGGCAATGAACAATGGCCTGTCAACTGTAGTGTTGTTTCATCTCTTATGCCAATTTTAAAATTATCCAATCATACTTACACTTTAATCGTCCTTCCACATACAACCACGGCATACAAAAAAAAAATATTCAATTATTTTTTAAAACATTTTATATTATAAGCACTCATTAGTTCGATCTTCACAAACCAATTTATTTGAAACTTGAAACTCAGGGGACGTCACTCGTTTAATTTGCACAGAGCGGAGAAATCAACTTACCTCCCCTATATGAAGGTTTCTGTAAAACGCTAATCATCATAACCTGAACTAATCTAGATCTATATCGCAACAAATAACAAAACACGATATGAAACAATATTGCCGTGCTGAAGAACATACCATCACCATGGAAAGATTACGTCGCCCATATTAAAAGCGTTGGTTTAGAAACCACATTTTTATTTGCCTTTTGATGTGTTTTCATTTTTTGTTTAATCCGTCTAGCACATATTTTTGGTTAAACCAACAAACACATAATTCTTTGGCTAACCTATCTAACGTATATTTCTTTGCTAAACTCATGAAACACATATTTATTTGGTTAAACTATTAAACATATATTTCTTTGGTTAAACAATTAAACACACATTATTTCTTGGAATAACCAACAAACACAAATTCATTTGGCCTACCTATCAAACACATATTTCTTTGACTTAACCATTAAACACATATTTATTTGGCTAACCAACACACACATATTTCGTTGATTTAACCAACAAACACATATTTCTTTGATTTAACCAATAAACACATATTTATCTGGCTAACCAACAAACACATATTTCTTTGATTTAACCAACAAACACATATTTCTTTGATTTAACCAATAAACACATATTTATCTGGCTAGCCAACAAACACATACGTCTTTGGTTGATAACTGAAGAGTCAGTTTAAAAAATATATTTATAATGAAATCCACGAACAGAAAAATTATTAGGAAAAAAATATTTACACATTGTACACAAACACTTTTGTCATCTACACATTTTATATAACTGGTAACATCTTTAGAGACATATCTAACCATCGTATAAAATTGTATACACAAATTTGTCACCTACACACTGTCTTATACAACAGAAGTCGTCTTTGGTACTTATAAAACAAATGCCATCTACGCATCTTGCATAATAAATGACATCTACACCTCTTGTAAAACAAATGTCATCTACACATCTCGCACAATACATGACATCTACACATCTTGCACAATCAATGACATCTGCACATCTTAAAAAACAAATGTCAGCTCCAGTTCTCGTAAAGTACTACACATATCTACACGTGACACAAATGACATGTACCCGCACACATCAAATCACAGCCCTCAATATTTATCAATGGGTGACCCTGATGTGTACGAATGTCCTAATGGAGAGGACAATTCTCGGGAATTTCCCCGGGGCGGGGACAATTCTCGGGAATTTCCCCGGGGCGGGGACAATTCTCGGGAATTTCCTCGGGGCGGGGACAATTGCCGGACGTTGGTTTCCGATGACCAGTTTAAATGTTCATAATGCCGGCTGTTCTCTTCCGGCGACCGGTTCGAGAATCCGACCATCCTATTTTCCGGTTCCTGTGAGTGATTAATCTCCTCTGCTAGTCTATTAGACAGCTCCGACGACCGCCTGTTTGAAACCGGTTGCCGGTTTGAAATCTCAGCCGGCTGCCGGTTCGAAATCTCCGCCGGGTAATACGCGCTGTTTTCGTACGCGCCCGGCTGCGACGTGGGGAGACTGAGCTGCCGGCTGGAGATGCTCTCGTACAGATCCGGCTCCGAGCCGGTCGGCGAGTTGAGGGCTCGGGTGGAGGAGGTGGAGGTGACGGACAGGCCTCGCATGGGCTCGGGGCGGGGCCTGCTGGAGGAGTAGGACACGGTGTCGTAGACGGGGGACTCGCCGGCTGACTTGGGCGGGCTCTGGGTCTTGTGTTTCTTGGAGGCTGCTCTCAGTCTGGTAGGTAAAGTAAGAAAAATTGTCAGTTTACTATATATATTCAATTTTTTTTTTTAAATCTGGAGGGCATTATCAAGGGTGTCTAAATTTGGTTATTGGTAAAATAAAAATTATCTGACGGAGGGTTATGGGGATTAATAAGATGAACAGGGGCTAAGAAAGTTATCCATTGCTTTAAATGAGCAGTAGGTACGAGTACTACGATCTAATGTTCTTTGACAAAACCATACACATAGAAACCCGTATGCACGCAATATATATATATATATATATATATATATATATATATATATATATATATATATATATATATATATATATATATGTTACGGTCAAAGCCCGAAGTGCGGCCAAAGCGCGGATTGGCCGGCCAATCCGCGCATTGGCCGGCTCTCTTGGCCAAAGCCCAAAGAACTTAGCGCTAAGATCGTATTTCGTATATTGGCCGGCCAATGCGCGCACTGGCCGGGACGTACTGGCCAAAGTCCGAAGCGCTTAAACTTGACAGCGTATTTTGTACATTGGCCGGCCAATGCGCGCACTGGCCGGGATGTCCTGGCCAATGTTCTATCTAGACTAAATTGTGATCGCATTTTCGTTATTCTTGGTGCGTTTTCATTGAGAGTAACGTATTGTTTAGCTCTTGTTTGTATAGCATTCTATATGCAAGGCGACATGGATCAAAAGGGCCGTCAGACCATGAGACAGACATAGCAGATGGCTGTCAAAAGAAAAAAAATGTAAATCCATGTTAGTTTCCATATATGGGCTCCCGATAAAATAGTTACTGAGGAAGATCTTGAGAACATTGAACAAGAAATGGAGGTTGCCATAAATGCAACGACATCCTCAGCTAACACATCTACTGCCGTGGCGGAACGCCCAATAATGTGGCCAACTGATTCTATATAGTTTGTGAAAAACATTGTAGTGCAGCTCATTCTTTTGGATCCTGTGGCAACGATGTCCATGCTATTTCTGGAATACCCAATGAAGCAGACGAAGGGTACGGAGGGAACATTACCTGCAGATTGTGTCACAACAAACAAGACATCATGGAACACAAATCAGCAGCTCATACTGGCTTGCAAACTCAAGGTGCTAAGATGCTTAAAACATCAAATACAAAATTTAAAGATAGTGAAGTGGGTGACAATGTACGCATCCGTTTTCCAGATGTTGACAGAGGTCACGGTGATCCCCGAAGCGTGATTGCAGTTGTCATGAGCGTCGAGGGCGGTTTCTACAAATTAGGAACGGAACATGGTGTTCTAAAACAACTGTATGCTAGAAGTGAGTTTTCAATTCTTCACGAAAAACTGCTCTTATTGTCGTCAGTTGGCACTGAGGAAAAATCACTATGGACCATCGCGTCTTCACAATCATTGACTGGGGGCCAATGCTACACTCGCTGCAATTGCACAACTAAGTGCACAACAAATCGCTGCAAGTGTAAAAATAACAAGCTGCTATGTAATTCTAAATGCCATAAAAGTTCAACTTGTTTGTAACAAATGATGATATTGATTGATTGAGACTATAGTACAATAAAAAATTTGATTGTTTCTGTCATTTACTTTAATTAATAATCAATAAAGACTTAATTTCATGATCCTTTCGACATAAAAAAAAAACAAAATCTGCTCATGATCTTCTAATTCGGACTTTGGCCGGTCGTCCCTAGCCAGATGATCTTCTAATTAAGACTTTGGCCGGTCCACCATGGCCAGTCTGCGGATTGGCCGGCCAAAGGCCGAAATCAAGCAAAGTTTCGGGCTTTGACCGACCTATGGGAGGCGATATTGGCCAATGCGCGGATTGGCCGGCCAATCCTAGCATTGGCCGACTTCGGGCTTTGACCGTAACATATATATATATATATATATATATATATATATATATATATATATATATATATATATATATATATATATATATATATATATATCTTATTAAGCCCCATACCACTCCGTCAGATAATTTTTATTTACCAATAACAAAATCTAGACACCCTTGATAATACCCTCCAGATTAAAAAAATAATTTGAATTTTGAAATAAAAATATATATCTGACTACTCCTCCCCATAAACCAGAAAAACCCATCTATTATATACCTGACAACCCCACCTGCATACCTGACAACCCACAACCCCCTCCCCCCCCTTCCCCCCATGAAAGAACATCCGACCCACCTGTCCCTCCTCTTGGCACTGTTGTCTTTAGTCGTGAGGGAGAAGACGAGCCTGTCTCTAAACAAGGCGTCGCTGACATCCAGGTAGGTGAACGTCCTACAGCAGCGTCTGATCAACGGGTCCATTTCTTCCTTCGGCACCTGGACACGACATGAGTTGAATTAGTATTTACGTGTGTTGTTTTTTTTTTTTTATTTACAATTTTGGAGACAATACGTTTAAAATGTGTTCAATTTTTTTAACGTGGTTATGTCCCTTAGGTTAAAAGGCCATCGCTGCACTGCAAACATTCAAAGGTGGTCTGTTTCAGACTATTGATAGGAAATCGTAACGTGAAATGAGTTAGCCCAGTCAAAGTAAAAATTTAACGTAAAATGAAATAGTAAGAACAGTTTTAGCATGACCAGGATCCGAACTCGTGACTCGCAAGCTTCTCCACGCCTTCCTCGACATGCTCTACTTCATATGTCCTGTGAACGCTACATCTGAATGATATAGTTTTTACGCTTCAACTCAAATCGTTTTGTTTTCAACGTTTCCAAATAAAATTTTCTTAGACACGGGTCGCTAAACACTTACCTTCTGTATAAGTTACAAGGTGAGATACCTGGTCTTCTTTAACAGACTTTGTACGCCTGACTGAAATACTTACCCCCGCAACAGACATGTCTGAATTAACCACGTAACCACCTACTGTAGTAGTCCTGTTTTAACTAACCACCTAACCACAAAATCACCTAACTTCTGCAGCATCTTACCTCTGTAGCAGGCCTGTCTGAACTAATCACCCAACCACCTACGATTTGCAGCAGAAACCACCTAACCACCTACCATCTGCATCAGTAACCACCTAACCACCTACCTTCTATAACAGGTCTGTCTGAACTTACCACCTTTCAACTACCTACCTTCTGCAACAGTAACCACCCAACCACCTACCACCTGCAGCAGTAACCACCCAACCACCTACCACCTGCAGCAGTAACCACCCAACCACCTACCTTCTATAGCACTAACCACCCAACCACCTACCTTCTGCACCACTAACCACCCAACCACCTACCTTCTGCACCAGTAACCTCCCAACCACCTACCTTCTGCAAAAGTAACCATCTAACCACCTACCTTCTACACCAGTAACCGCCTAACCAACTACCTTCTGTAGCAGTAACCACTTACCACCTACCATCTGCAGCAGAAACCACCCAACCACCTACATTCACAAACCACCCAACCACCTACCTTCTGCAGCAGTAACCACCCAACCACCTACCATCTGCAGCAGTAATCACTTACCACCTACCTTCTACAGCAGTAACCACCTAACCACCTACCTTCTACAACATGCCTGCCTGAACTAACCACCTACCTTCTGCAGCAACAACACAATGAGATGCCGTGTTTTCTCCACCAAACTCTGCCTGTACGCCTGCCTGAGTTCCTCCATGGCCCAGTAGCTCTTCAAGAAACTCGGCGACAGCACGATGATGGTGTGTCGACTCGACTCGATCGAGTCCACGATGTTGTCGAAGATTGTCTTCCCCGGAATAAAATCTCGCTGGTGTATACACAACTTGAACTGTTTGTTTTCCCCAAGCCAAGAACCGGACGCCGGTTTCTTTTTCTTGTCCTGCTTGTCATTCGTACGTGAGGGGTCATCTTCTGATTGTGTTTTGACCACCGGTCGGTTTTCTAAAAAGGTGATCAAATTCTCAAAGACCCACGTGTCGTCGTCGTTGCTGTACGAGACGAAGGCGTCGTAGGTTTTGTTGTGGCGCTGGTCTTCCGCGTCGCAGGGTAGGCGCAGGTGTAGCCGCGTGTAGAGGAGGATGCGGATCTCGATCTTGTAGCGGATTAAAACGATGATGAGGATGAGGAGGATCCCGAGGGAAACGCCCAGAGCGATGAGGGCTTCGTCGTGGGTTTCATAGGCGGCGCACATGAGCGAGGAGTGGGTAAGGGTGTGGAGCGGCCTGCCTGCTAGATCCTCAGGGGTGGCGCACTGGAGGAATTTGACGTACTCGTACGCCGCAAGCTGACCGGTGAACGTGGATTCCTGTTGAAGATAGGGTAAAAAACTAGCTAACTCACAGTCGCAGTGGATCGGGTTGTTTCTGATATCGACGAAAAAATTTTCAACGTTGGCCCAAGATTTGATCTCGTCCATGTTAATCGTGGTGAAATTATTGCTGTGGAGGTCAAAGGTCACGACCCCCGAGTTGGGTTCAGACGGATAGTTTTTGACGTCTAACCTGCTGATTTTATTATGCGAGATGTCGAGGTATTTTAACCTGGGGAAGAACCTCCGCCATTGGGAGAGTTCTCTGGGCACTTCCGTCATGCCGATGTAGGAGTAGTTCATGACCTCCAAGACGGGGTGGTCAGATGTCTGGACCAGGAACTCGAAGAACTCGCTCGGCGTCAGCGAGGCCTGGCTTTCTTCCAGAACTCGCAGCTTCGTGTAGTTGCATTTCGTTTTCGTGTTCACGGATTTCTTCAGCAGTTCCAGAAAATCCGCTTTGGCTTGCCTGGACAAGGTCTCGTTGATTACCTGGTTGCTAGGCGACGGTTGTTTAGACTTGGAGGCGTCGGCGTTCAGGTTCACCTGATCCGACACGACTTTCTCCGCGTCTTTGATCAACCGCGTTTCCGGTTTCACCGTGCCGGAATTTCCGGCCTCGTCGACCGGCTCGGAAAAAAAGTCGCTGAGCTGTTTCTCGAGTTTGGGCGCCGCGGTTGTGTTTTTCTTAACCCCGAGCAGCAAATCGTCCGGTAAAAAATCAGACACGTTTCTGTTGATGATGATCTCCAGACTCCTGGCCTGACCGCAGTCGTACTCGTCGCTGATGTTTATACCGCCCATAGAATTCTCCAGAACGATGTTTCTCATCGAGATCGCCCATCGCGAATGATGAATTTCCAACACCCGTAGCTCATCCGGTAAAGTCGGATCGACTGTGTCATAGTAATTAGCGTACCTGTCTAAAAGAACGCAATAATAGATTCTGAGTTCTCTGAGACCAGGTACCTTCATCGGCCATGGCACGGAGACGTTCGCACCTGATTGACAGGTAACTTGGATGTGGTAGTGAACTGTTCGGTTGTTGGCGCCGGTCATTGCGTTAATGCGGCTCGTCATAATCCAAACACGGAGGTCCATTAGTTTCCACGGGAAGTCTTTAGGCGTGATGGCGCATGTCAGGGTCAGGTTGAGGTGAGTTCCTGCCGAGTCGGCTGGACGGGATTCGTTGGTCTGGCAGACTCTCGTCCACCGGGGCGGGACGTAGAGCAGACTGTACACAACAGCGGCCGGCAGCACGGATAAAAATAGAACACACGAGCACGACATGGCGGTGTAGGATCGAAAAAAAGCCTCCGAAATTTTTTTCGTAGAACTAGAACTTTCTGAAGAGTGGCCGTGTGATGAGATTTGCCACAAAACACATTATATATTTATAAATTATTTAGAAAGCGCTGAGATTGATACAAAAGAAAAAATCCTTCCAAATCCTCGGTTAAATTTTCTCTCTCCTAAACCCGGAGAATGCTAAGATCATTTTGGGCGTAAAGGGCGGTAACTGATGAAATTTAAAACCGTGATTAAACACGATGATGACAAACACAAATTGCATCAAAGCTTGTGTTTAAAATCTCAGAACACGTGTGTTGGGGTATATTTTCTGCTATACATGACATCATCCCTTGTTGTTTGATACTTGTTGCTGAATTTGTTCTGTTAGGAAATAGTCGACTTGATAGTGTTATTAGAGTCACGTCCCTTACAACGTCAGCGACCCTGAGCCTATGGAAAGAAAACAAAATATAGCTTGTTTGTGATTTGTTTACAAATTTGAATGCAAACATATCTAAATTATAGTTTTTGATTTTCATAAAATTTGAATATTTAAATTTGTTACATTTTAAGCAACCTGTCATTTTTTAAATGTAAGTGGTACTAATCCGGGGTAGAAAATGTGAGGGGTGGGGGAGGGAAAGAGATGGTGTAGTGGTGTGGTCTGACGTGTTGGGGTATGCAGGGAGAATGTGCTAGGGATGAATGGGGGGAGGTCAAGGGACCAATTGAGAAGAAGATGTTCGCGTAGGAGGTGTGAGGTAAGAAGTAGGGGAGGGGAGAATATGTTGTTAGAACGATAATAGATGTGAGTGGGGGGAGTGGGTGAATGTATTGCGAGGGGAAGAGGAATAAAAAAAAAGTTCAAATTTGAGCACTTCCATTTCAACATGAATATATTTTCTGGTCTGTGTCTACTTAAAGAAAAATAACAGTTTAAAATAACATTTTGTTACCTTTTAAAAATCATACTTTTAAGCCAAACTATACAACATCCTTGTTAAGCATCGGAGCAAAGATTGCCTGAATTACTTTAAAAAACAACTATATAACCCCGGTAGTTTAGCATACATTAAGTATTAATAGATTGAAATTGGCCTACTCACCCCCAATAGTTGTGATCTTTTTTTAAAAAATTGCAGCGACGGACTAACTTTCTGACTAACTTTTTGTAAAAGTAACTTAAAAAACCAAATACCAGAAACTTATTTTTTACCTTTTTACCTGACAAAAACAAATGACAGACGACATTAAACACCAAGACTTGCTGTACCTACAGGTCCCCTACGTTAATCCCGTACAACATTACAGCCAGCAGTTTAAAAAAAAAACTACGAGACTCAAGGTCACCCAGTCAACAACATCAAGACCCCGAGGGGGTTCGAGGTTATAATGATGTCACTGGTTTAACTATAGCGCCATCTGTACCATTGAGTTATTCAGTTCAAATAAAGTACGGGAATATTTTTTAAAGATAGGGGCGGGGAGTCGTTGTCCCCCCCCCCCCCCCCCCCCAACATTAGATCAGAGAGTGGAGCGGGAAGATGAGCAGCGACGACTAGCGGACAAGGGGCGGTCACTGCGTGCGATGACAAACGGGATTGTCTCCCTGCCTACTAGTGATCGAGCATCTCTCGACAGGAACTAACACTGAGTAGACCAGACACCAGTATTTTTTGACATGAGTAAGTCCACAGGCCGAGGTGTCGTTAGGGACAAGGAGTGAGGTGGTGTTGGCCGTGACTGAAACTGTATCATTTATATAGTATCGCTGGGGGTGGGGGGGGGGGTCCCTTGTGAATATAGTATCGATATGGGAGTGGAGGGGGGGGGGCTTAGTGAGTAGAGAATTGCTATGATGAGAGGGGGTGTCTTAGTGAGTATAGTTTTGTCTAGTATTGTTATGTGGGGGGGGGGGGGTGTCCCAGTGAGTATAATATCGCACAGATGGGTGGGCAGTGAAAATGGTATTTCTATAGGGGAAAGGAGGGGCGTATCAGTGAATATAGAATCATTATAGCTACTTCTAATTTGTTGTTGATACAACCCTAGCAGCAGCCTAGATCCGCCACTGGTATGGGTCATAGATCTGTGTACGGCTTTTATAATATCTCAAACTTAGGACAATTTTACCTAAAAATTTCACATTTTCCTATACACTAGAAAACACATGTTTTGAGACCTAAATAAAGTTTAGGATTTCTTTCAGACATTTTGTCCATGGGGGGGGGGGGGGGAAGGTTTGAGGCTTCTTGTGGGGCAGTTAAATAATTTATATTAATTGTTAAATTAAACATTTTTCTGTATCTTTAAAGGGGTGATTGAAGTGCTTGAATATACGGGGGGGGGGGGGGGGGAGCAGAGCACCCCCGGGGAGATGTCTGAATGACACTGCTAAAGATTATGTAAATATCGACACAATTTCACCTTGAAAATGATGGTCCACACATAAAAGTTCAGATGTAACATAGATAAAAACAATCGTTCTCTCTGTAATGTATGCACATTAGATGAAATGATAAAGGCCGGACTGGTTAATTAAATTCAAACGTTTTTTTATCCAGTCAATCATTGTATTATCTTTCAGCCAATGAAGTGGTGGCATTTGTGTCACGTGCTAGCTACTAAAATGTCTTGTTTAATTTACACTTCATTGCATTCTTAGCTGCCCCACTTTTCCAGATATAGCAGCCTCCCTCCAGCCTCCATCTTTAGCAGCCCACTCCCCCTCTATCTTTAGCAGCCCCCCCCCCCCCTTTCATATATTGCAGCCCCCTCCCCCTCCTTCTTTAGTAACCTCTCCCTCCCTTCCATCTGTAGTCGGCCTTTCCTCCATCTATAATATCCATCCCTCAAGTAGACCCACTCAATCAACCTTTCGTATAGTCACATTGTGTGTTTGAAATTTATCAAAATCTTCTATAAAGTCAAACAGGCTTTAGAAAAACTACTTATTTTTGTTCATATTCTTAAAAATATAACGGAGGGGATAGGGAATTTGGGATCACTAATCCACCCCCGCCCCTCCCCACTAGGAATTTTTTTCAAAAGAAAGGAATAAGGAATTTTAAGCGTTCAGTCTTAAGTATCTTAATTAGCGTGACAACTTGTTTATGTAATTTCTATGGGAGGGTCAAAGGTTAGACACAGTGTAAGCCCTAAACTAACTTACACTGACAGCGTCGGTTGGTAATGTTAATCGTGACGTAGCTAATGACGTCAGGAGGTAAGAAAACAGAAACTAATGAGTACGTTTAAAATACCTTACGCAGGTGATGTGTTTTATTTTATTTTTAATTCACAAAGTTTTTAGTAAATAACCTTAAAGTCTAGCTATTGGAGGATTAAATATTTTAGTAAATTTAAAGTGAATAATCTTAAACTTTAGCTATTTAAGGGATTAAATATTTTGGTAAATTTAAATTTAATGGTTTTAAAGTCTAGCTATTGGAGGATGAAATATTTGAGAAGATTTAAAGTGAATAATTTTAAATTCTAGCTAGATCTATTGGATGATTAAACATTTTCGTAAATTTAAAGTAAATATTCTTAAAGTCTAGTTATTGGAGGATGAAATATTTTGGTAAATTTAAATTTAATGGTTTTAAAGTCTAGTTATTGGATGATTAAATATTTTGGTAAATTTAAAGTAAATATTCTTAAAGTCTAGTTATTGGATGATTAAATATTTTGGTAAATTTAAAGTAAATATTCTTAAAGTCTAGTTATTGGAGGATGAAATATTTTGGTAAATTTAAAGTAAATATTCTTAAAGTCTAGTTATTAGAGGATGAAATATTTGAGTATTTTTAAAATGAATAATCTTAAAGTCTAGATACAGTAAGTTAAAACATTTCAACGAGACTACGGAATCAGACGAAGTGGGACGAAGTGGTCTAGCGATAGAGAGCTGGACTGCTTACCCGTAAGTCTCGAGTTCGAATCCGGGTTAAAGTCAGTACACCGTCCCTGAGTCCACACAACTTTGATGGGTACCTAACTCACGTTAGGGAAAGTAAAGCCGGCTGGGCATAGTGCTGACCACACTATCTCTTCATATGCCGAGGTCACAGAAACAAGTGAACTCTACTTCACTTGCCCCATAGACCGTCAGGTTTGAAAGGGAAACTTTAATCTTAAATTCTACCTATTGGATGATTAAATGTTTTGGTAAATTTAAAGAAAATATTCTCAAAGCCTAGTTATTGGAGGATGAGCTAGTTTAGTAAATTTAAAGCGACTAATCTTAGTCTGGATTGTAAGTTAAAACATTTCAACGAGACTACGGAATCATAAGTTTTATATATAGGTATATACAGGTGTTGTGGGGTGGGGATTCTAAAGACTAGGTAGTTGTGTCTAGGGCACATTTAGCATTTAAGGCTGTCATGAGGTAAGTGAGGTAGATAAACCCTACTTCACCTGTCCGCTGGTTAATTTCATCAGGAGTTAAACAAAACGGTTGTGATCGTAAAAAAACAACTGAGGCTAAGAACATGATTGACGAATGTGTTGAAGGTGGACGAGTTAAAGATGTCAACACATCGGAACAGTTTCCTGTAGAGTGGTACAGGTAACCAGGGCTGGGGGAGGGGAGAGAGAGATGGACGGGGGGGGGGGGGGGTTGAAGGTGAACCTGTTAGCTTCGTTAAAAAAAACATCCCTGACAAATTGCTGCAAGCGACAGCTGGTCAGATAAAAGTTGTGACGTAGGTCCAGGGGCGTACATCAAAGGGGGGGGGGTTGGTTTTACTTTTACGGGGGACTGGGATAAAAAACCCGCACAGGACTGACGTAAAAAACTTGCAAGAGGGTGTGGAGGGGGGGGGTGAGGTTCTGCACTGTGACGATAGACGTAACGCGACGTTGCTTTATAATTATTGTAAACATTTGCAACTAACCATTTTATAGAGTACAAATGTCTAAACCGTTATCAGAGGCGTATCCAGGTTTTCGTTGTAGGGGGAGCGAAAAGAGGAAAAAAGGCGCAGAATTTG